TGCTGGCCTTGTGTCAACTGTTGTCTGTGTCACTGCGCTATCTTTAGCTTACAGATCGATCGTGATAGGCTATCGATTTCTCCATTCAAATCTCATCCAGTGTGTGAAGTCCGGAAACAGCTATCGTCTCTGCAAGCTATATTTGGCAATAAACATTTTCCTGGGAAAGTGTTGAGACTTGTGTGTTTTCTTGTGTTCCCTTGATCACCACAAACTAAGGACTTTGGAAACTCCACTCTCAGGTATTTTTGTTCATCATTGAAATGTTCATTTGCTTGACATAGTCTCATCCTAGCGGTGCGGTTCCCATCTCAGTGTCTCTTGTGCAACACGAACAGTAAATAACATCTGTTCTCGCCTTGTAGGATAAAAGTTATGTGTTTCTCTTCTGCTCCTTTTTCTGATGCATTTGGATCTCTTGAGTTTCATTGCTCCAGATATTATTAGCCTTCGTTGAGCTTCATGTTGGGTTTTCTCTTTCCATTGTATGACTTCATGTGTCTCCATCGTCTTCTCTATCTGTATTGCAGTCTACTTCTATTGCACTGTTTTGTATATAAGGTTTGTCTCTCTGTTGTCTGCCATTTCTCCTTTCTAGTCTCTTATTTTTACGGAGCAATCAGAAAATGATGGGCTGCATGAGCAACATACCGTCAGTCGCCTTTTCCTCACAGAACATTTCCTGCCATTGCAGGTTAGGTCGAATGAGGGGTTAAGATTAACGAAGAACGATAATTATCGTTTGTACAGATTCAAACCCACGACAACGGCAACTACAGATTCACATCTACCGGGTATGTCATCTGCTGTCTTCCTTAGTGTCATCTTCAGGCACACAGGTTAGCTCCCTTGTCTACCGATACAGTAGTGACAGGTCAACCAACCACCAGCGTCTGAGGGATGTTGCAGCTGATCAGCGCTGCTCCAGGATCACTCCAGCAACAAAGACTTGTGAAAGCGTGCCAGGTTCCATCCCAGATGCGGGTTATTTGACAGCGGATCGCCTTACGTCTCCTCCACAGCCAAGCTGAGACCTACCGACTTGGCAATTGCAAACTGTTGAAAATAAAATTGCCTAGTGAAACCACACACAGCACGCATGCACAGAGGGGGGGGGGGGGGGGGGAGAGAGATAGAGAGAGAGGGAGAGAAGCTGGGATTGATTCTGCAAAGTCCTGTAAAAGACATGACACTAAAATACAAATCCTGGGAAAAAGTAGAGGATAAGGGCACTTGGGTCTTCGCCTCCAGAACATCGTGACGTAGAGCAGCAGAAGACCAAACACCCCAACACTTGCATGTATTCCAGACAAAGAGGGCCACAGTAGCACCAGAGATGGCTGATGATGTTATTTCATTACACTATAGGATGATTATGTGTTGATGATAATGATGATGATGACCTGATGATTAGGATAATGATAATAATGATAATGATGATAAAGATGTCGCTAATTATTTGCTGATGAGAACGACGACATTGGACTTAAGCTTTCAAGAGAAATGGAGACCGTATTTCTGCGACTGTGAGCACACTGACCTACAGACACAAGTCTCCGACTGTGAGCACACTGACCTACAGACACAATTCTGTGACTGTGAGCACACTGACCAACAGACACAAGTCTGTGACTGTGAGCACACTGACCTACAGACACAAGTCTGTGACTGTGAGCACACTGACCTACAGACACAAGTCTCTGACTGTGAGCACACTGACCTACAGACACAAGTCTCTGACTGTGAGCACACTGACCTACAGACACAAGTCTGTGACTGTGAGCACACTGACCTACAGACACAAGTCTCTGACTGTGAGCACACTGACCTACAGACACAAGTCTGTGACTGTGAGCACACTGACCTACAGACACAAGTCTCTGACTGTGAGCACACTGACCTACAGACACAAGTCTGTGACTGTGAGCACACTGACCTACAGACACAAGTCTCTGACTGTGAGCACACTGACCTACAGATACAAGTCTGTGACTGTGAGCACACTGACCTACAGACACAAGTCTGTGACTGTGAGCACACTGACCTACAGACACAAGTCTCTAACTGTGAGCACACTGACCTACAGACACAAGTCTGTGACTGTGAGCACACTGACCTACAGACACAAGTCTCTGACTGTGAGCACACTGACCTACAGACACAAGTCTATGACTGTGAGCACACTGACCTACAGACACAAGTCTCTGACTGTGAGCACACTGACCAACAGACACAAGTCTGTGACTGTGAGCACACTGACCTACAGACACAAGTCTCTGACTGTGAGCACACTGACCTACAGACACAAGTCTCTGACTGTGAGCACACTGACCTACAGACACAAGTCTCTGACTGTGAGCACACTGACCTACAGACACAAGTCTCCGACTGTGAGCACACTGACCTACAGACACAAGTCTCTGACTGTGAGCACACTGACCTACAGACACAAGTCTCCGACTGTGAGCACACTGACCTACAGACACAAGTCTCCGACTGTGAGCACACTGACCTACAGACACAAGTCTCCGACTGTGAGCACACTGACCTACAGACACAAGTCTCCGACTGTGAGCACACTGACCTACAGACACAAGTCTCTGACTGTGAGCACACTGACCTACAGACACAAGTCTCCGACTGTGAGCACACTGACCAACAGACACAAGTCTGTGACTGTGAGCACACTGACCTACAGACACAAGTCTGTGACTGTGAGCACACTGACCTACAGACACAAGTCTGCGACTGTGAGCACACTGACCTACAGACACAAGTCTCTGACTGTGAGCACACTGAACTACAGACACAAGTCTCTGACTGTGAGCACACTGACCTACAGACACAAGTCTCCGACTGTGAGCACACTGACCTACAGACACAAGTCTCTGACTGTGAGCACACTGACCTACAGACACAAGTCTCCGACTGTGAGCACACTGACCTACAGACACAAGTCTCTGACTGTGAGCACACTGACCTACAGACACAAGTCTGCGACTGTGAGCACACTGACCTACAGACACAAGTCTCTGACTGTGAGCACACTGACCTACAGACACAAGTCTCTAACTGTGAGCACACTGACCTACAGACACAAGTCTGTGACTGTGAGCACACTGACCTACAGACACAAGTCTCTGACTGTGAGCACACTGACCTACAGACACAAGTCTATGACTGTGAGCACACTGACCTACAGACACAAGTCTCTGACTGTGAGCACACTGACCAACAGACACAAGTCTGTGACTGTGAGCACACTGACCTACAGACACAAGTCTCTGACTGTGAGCACACTGACCTACAGACACAAGTCTCTGACTGTGAGCACACTGACCTACAGACACAAGTCTCTGACTGTGAGCACACTGACCTACAGACACAAGTCTCCGACTGTGAGCACACTGACCTACAGACACAAGTCTCTGACTGTGAGCACACTGACCTACAGACACAAGTCTCCGACTGTGAGCACACTGACCTACAGACACAAGTCTCCGACTGTGAGCACACTGACCTACAGACACAAGTCTCCGACTGTGAGCACACTGACCTACAGACACAAGTCTCCGACTGTGAGCACACTGACCTACAGACACAAGTCTCTGACTGTGAGCACACTGACCTACAGACACAAGTCTCCGACTGTGAGCACACTGACCAACAGACACAAGTCTGTGACTGTGAGCACACTGACCTACAGACACAAGTCTGTGACTGTGAGCACACTGACCTACAGACACAAGTCTGCGACTGTGAGCACACTGACCTACAGACACAAGTCTCTGACTGTGAGCACACTGAACTACAGACACAAGTCTCTGACTGTGAGCACACTGACCTACAGACACAAGTCTCCGACTGTGAGCACACTGACCTACAGACACAAGTCTCTGACTGTGAGCACACTGACCTACAGACACAAGTCTCCGACTGTGAGCACACTGACCTACAGACACAAGTCTCTGACTGTGAGCACACTGACCTACAGACACAAGTCTGCGACTGTGAGCACACTGACCTACAGACACAAGTCTCTGACTGTGAGCACACTGACCTACAGACACAAGTCTCTGACTGTGAGCACACTGACCTACAGACACAAGTCTCTGACTGTGAGCACACTGACCTACAGACACAAGTCTCCGACTGTGAGCACACTGACCTACAGACACAAGTCTCTGACTGTGAGCACACTGACCTACAGACACAAGTCAGCGACTGTGAGCACACTGACCTACAGACACAAGTCTCTGACTGTGAGCACACTGACCTACAGACACAAGTCTCTGACTGTGAGCACACTGACCTACAGACACAAGTCAACGACTGTGAGCACACTCACCTACAGACACAAGTCTCTGACTGTGAGCACACTGACCTACAGACACAAGTCTCCGACTGTGAGCACACTGACCTACAGACACAAGTCTGCGACTGTGAGCACACTGACCTACAGACACAAGTCTCTGACTGTGAGCACACTGACCTACAGACACAAGTCTGTGACTGTGAGCACACTGACCTACAGATACAAGTCTCTGACTGTGAGCACACTGACCAACAGACACAAGTCTCTGACTGTGAGCACACTGACCTACAGACACAAGTCTCCGACGTTGCTGCGTGTCCCCCCCCCCACCCCCCCCCAAACCTGTATCATCATTTTCTCTGAAGCATTTCACTGTTAGGTAGCCTTTGCGGTGTGGCGGCTACATGCTCGCCTGTGGATCTAAAGGTTGTGGGTTCGTGTCCCGACAGAGCCGGACATCTTTTCCAGACCAATGACCTTTAGCTTCCAGCTTGAGCCAGTCTTGAGTGGGTACTAGGTACATTCCTGGGAAGCAAAGTCGGCCGGCGTAATGCTCTCAATACAACACCCACCGAGTGCATATTGATCTATAAAAAAACAGGTTTAGCCCTATATGCCTAATACATATGAAGGTATGGAAAAGGGTAATTTACTTTATTTCACAGTAGCCATTATTTCCCCAGTGATGGACACATACAGACAGAGGAGCTACCAGAACTCAAACGACTGGGGTCAGCGCTGGGCTGTCCGTCAATGGAACCCGCCCCAGGGACACGGGGTCTACCTGTTTATCCGCTTCCCTGGTCACTCGGTGGAGTTTGCTGCCCAGACGGTGGTGCTGGGCAAACGGGCAGTCACCACTGCTAGGGGTCAGTTCATTGGGATCGCCAGGAAGGTGGGTCCAGTTTGTCTGTATGTCTGTACACAGTTTGTAACCCTTAGAAAATAAAGTTTGTTCGTTCGTTTAGTCTTTCTACCTTTTTATTTGTCTGTCTGTAGCACTTTCTATCTATCTATCTATCTATCTATCTATCTATCTATCTATCTATCTATCTATCTATCTAACTATATCTCTATCTATCTATCTAATCTATCTATATCTATCTATCTATCTATCTATTCTATCTATCTATCTATCTATCTATCTATCTATCTATCTATCTATCTATCATCTATCTATCTATCTATCTATCTATCTATCTATCTATCTCTATCTATCTAGCTATCTATCTATCTATCTATCTATCTACCTACCTACTACCTATCTATCTACCTATCTATCTATCTACCTATCTATCTATCTATCTATCTATCTATCTATCTATCTATCTATCTATCTATCTATCTATCTATCTATCTATCTATCTATCTATCTATCTATCTCTATCTATCTATCTAATCTATCTATCTATCTATCTATCTATCTATCTATCTATCTATCTATCTATCTGTCTGTCTATCTATCTGTCTGTCTGTCTGTCTGTCTGTCTGTCTGTCTGTCTGTCTGTCTGTCTGTGTCTCTGTGTCTATCTGCTTAATTTGTAACCCTTTGAAAATTAAGTTAATTGGTTCCGTCAGGCTATTTGTTTCACTGTCTGTCTATTTATTTGTATATCTGTCTGTCTGTCTGTCTGTCTGTCTGTCTGTCTGTCTGTAGATCTGGATATCTAGTGAACAGAACACAAGGCATATATGTGTGTATACGTATTTAAATGTATGTTTGCAAATCATTATGTATATCTATCAAAATATTATCTATTGATGCATCCATTTATCAGTCAATTGATTCATCCATTGATCCATCCATTTATCCATCCAATAATCCAACAAAACACCCACCAACTAACTATCCCATCTATTCCCCCCCCCCCCCTTCTAGGTTCATGACCTTAGCTCCGGCCCCCACCAGAAGGAGTCTCTAGTGGTCTACCTGTTCGAATCCACAGAGGCAGCAACTCGCTTCTTTGTCAGCGACAACCGCTTCAAACAGCCGGACTTCCCCCCGCCGTCCGGCGCCTGTGAGGCTTGGACAGTGGTCAAGTTTCTGGAGACCAGGAATGATGACAGTATGACATGAGTGCCTCTGTGTCCTTCCTCTCTGTAATGGAAGCATGTATTTTAGATGTGTGTCAAATAGTTATAGATCTAATTTTCATTCTTTACTGTTCATACACCCCCCCCCCCCAATCCCCCAATTAACATTTACTGGCACCTTTCCTTCTTTCCAGACGATAGAGTTATGCGGCACTATGAGGAGGCGTGGCGATGGCGAGTGGCAAGACCCGCCCGCGTTAAGAAAAGTCTTTCACAATTGTAGCATATGATTTCAGCACCGTTGTTGTCCACATTTGTGTCTAGTCTGTTTCTTCTCAGCTCTCTTCCTTTCTGCAATCATGTCTTTCTTCATTCGCATTTCCTTCCTGGCGTGCCTCCTTCACGCAACACGGTATATATATATATATATATATATATATATATATATATATATATATATATATATATATATATATATATATATATATATATATATATATATATATTATATATATATATATATATATATATATATATATATATATATATATATATATATATATATACACACATCCACATTTTGTGTATATATGACAGCCTCCACGGTGTAGCAGCTAGAAGCTAGCATAGGGATCCGAAAGTCGTGGGTTTAAATTCGAACGGAACCGGACCCTTTTAAAAAATGGCCCCGGCTCCCAGATCGACTCAGCCTTAAATAGATGCGAGGGAACAAGCTGGGAAGTAAACGTGGGTGGTATGATGCCGATCATATCACACAACGAGTGCCGACATTTCTAGCCCTATATGCCCAAAACGTCAAAAAGGCGTGAGAAAGGGTCTGTTTGCTGTCTTCTCCCCGGTATCTACCCTACTGTCCGCTCTGCATGCAGTGCTGTCTTCTCCGCGTTATCTACCCAAGTGTCCCCTCTACATGCAGTGCTGTCTTCTCCACGTTATCTACCCAAGTGTCCCCTCTGCATGCAGTGCTGTCTTCTCCACGTTATCTACCCTACTGTCCGCTCTGCATGCAGTGCTGTCTTCTCCACGTTATCTACCCAAGTGTCCCCTCTGCATGCAGTGCTGTCTTCTCCACGTTATCTACCCTACTGTCCGCTCTGGATGCAGTACTGTCTTCTCCACGTTATCTGCCCAAGTGTCCCCTCTGCATGCAGTGCTGTCTTCTCCACGTTATCTACCCTACTGTCCGCTCTGCATGCAGTGCTGTCTTCTCCACGTTATCTGCCCAACTGTCCCCTCTGCATGCAGTACTGTCTTCTCCACGTTATCTACCCAACTGTCCCCTCTGCATGCAGTGATGTCTTCTCCAAGTTATCTACCCTACTGTCCCCTCTGCATGCAGTGCTGTCTTCTCCACTGTATTTACCCTATTGTCCCCTCAGCATGCAGTGCTGTCTTCTCCAAGTTATCTACCCTACTGTCCCCTCTGTATGCAGTGCTGTCTTCTCCACGTTATTTACCCTACTGTCCCCTCTGCATGCAGTGCTGTCTTTTCCACGTTATCTACCCTATTGCCCCCTCTGCATGCAGTGCTGTCTTCTCCACTGTATCTACCCTATTGTCCACTCTATATGAGGTGCTGTCTTCTCTACGTTATCTACCCTACTGTCCCCTCTGCATGCAGTGCTGTCTTCTCCACGTTATCTACCCAACTGTCCCCTATGCATGCAGTGCTGTCTTCTCCACGTTATCTAACCAACTGTCCCCTCTGCATGCAGTGTTGTCTTCTCCACGTTATCTACCCAAGTGTCCCCTCTGCATGCAGTGCTGTCTTCTCCACGTTATCTGCCCAAGTGTCCCATCTGTATGCAGTGCTGTCTTCTCCACGTTATCTACCCAACTGTCCCCTCTGCATGCAGTGCTGTCTTCTCCACGTTATCTACCCAAGTGTCCCCTCTGCATGCAGTGCTGTCTTCTCCACGTTATCTGCACAAGTGTCCCCTCTACATGCAGTGCTGTCTTCTCCACGTTATCTACCCTATTGTCCCCTCTGTATCCAGTGCTGTCTTCTCCACGTTTTTTACCCTACTGTCCCCTCTGCATGCAGTGCTGTCTTCTCCACGTTTTCTACCCAAGTGTCCCCTCTGCATGCAGTACTATCTAGTCCCCTGTATCTACCCAAGTGTCCCTCTACATGCAGTGCTGTTTATTTCCCAGTGTACCTGACTTACATGCTCTGCGATAACACTCTCAGAGGCTCCAGCTATCACGAGTACAAGCGAGAATTTGCCGAGCCGTTTTCCCAGCTGGTATTGGACTACAACGGACAGGTACTTACTCACTCTGTTGTGTATGTATATGTGTGTGTGTGTGAGAGAGAGAGAGGGGGAGAGGGAGAGAGTATGTATGTGTGTGTGTTTTCACTTTGCTTCCTTTACACATAAACCTGGAGACGTTGTGAGTTCCCTCAGTCCAGTGTTAGAACTGGTACAGTATGTTCTCAGAACTCACATGTTTGAACGCTAACCAGTTGTCTGTAGGAGACATGTGGAAGCAGGTCTGTCTGTAGACAATGTGGGCAAGTGTTGGAGGGCTTCCATAGCACTGGGTAATTGTCAGTAGGAATAAAGGCCGACAAAGACGCGCACGCTCAGAGAAGAGGGCTAGAGAGAGAAGTTAAAAAGCAGGCGAGGACATGAGGTGAGCTGCATGCAATAGCAAAGGATAAAACAACGTGGCGTGAGTTGGGTGAAGGCCTATGCTCCATTGGGGGACAGAAGGCAAAAAAAGAAAAAATTAGGTTTCTTTTTGGGCCATTTGAAAACTGCTGGAAAGTGGGAACTAACCGTCAGAAGGAGTATGCTTAATGTGCCATCACCTGGTATCTAAGCAAACAGCCAATGATAGGGTCTACTGTTGTTCTTCCCACAGCCGTTTGTGGTGCAGTCGATCGGCGTGGAGTCGCTGAGGCGTCACCACGTGGAGCCGAACACAATCGTCACGCTTCACCTCTTTAGAAACGAGGAGGACATCAAGAGGATGATGGCAGACCGTAAGTCCTAGCTCTTGTTTGTTTGTTTGTTGTTGTGTCTTGTTAATTATTGTTTTCTGGGTTTTTTTGTGTGTTACTGTTTATGTCTGTTTGTTATTGTTTTCTGGGTTTTTTGTTACTGTTTATGTCTGCTTGTTATTGTTTTCTGGGTTTTTTGTTACTGTTTATGTCTGCTTCTTGTTGTTTTCTGGGTTTTTTGTTACTGTTTATGTCTGCTTGTTATTGTTTTCTGGGTTTTTTGTTACTGTTTATGTCTGCTTCTTGTTGTTTTCTGGGTTTTTTGTTACTGTTTATGTCTGTTTGTTATTGTTTTCTGGGTTTTTTGTTACTGTTTATGTCTGCTTCTTGTTGTTTTCTGGGTTTTTTGTTACTGTTTATGTCTGTTTGTTATTGTTTTCTGGGTTTTTTGTTACTGTTTATGTCTGCTTCTTGTTGTTTTCTGGGTTTTTTGTTACTGTTTATCTCTGCTTTTTATTGTTTTCTGGGTTTTTTGTTACTGTTTATGTCTGTTTGTTATTGTTTTCTGGGTTTTTTGTTACTGTTTATGTCTGCTTCTTGTTGTTTTCTTGCTTTTTTGTTACTGTTTATGTCTGCTTGTTATTGTTTTCTGGGTTTTTTGTTACTGTTTATGTCTGCTTCTTGTTGTTTTCTGGGTTTTTTGTGTTACTGTTTATGTCTGCTTCTTGTTGTTTTCTGGGTTTTTTGTGTTACTGTTTATGTCTGCTTGTTATTGTTTTCTGGGTTTTTTGTTACTGTTTATGTCTGTTTGTTATTGTTTTCTGGGTTTTTTGTTACTGTTTATGTCTGCTTCTTGTTGTTTTCTGGGTTTTTTGTTACTGTTTATGTCTGCTTGTTATTGTTTTCTGGGTTTTTTGTTACTGTTTATGTCTGCTTCTTGTTGTTTTCTGGGTTTTTTGTGTTACTGTTTATGTCTGCTTCTTGTTGTTTTCTGGGTTTTTTGTGTTACTGTTTATGTCTGCTTGTTATTGTTTTCTGGGTTTTTTGTTACTGTTTATGTCTGCTTCTTATTGTTTTCTGGGTTTTTTGTTACTGTTTATGTCTGCTTCTTGTTGTTTTCTGGGTTTTTGTTACTGTTTATGTCTGTTTGCAATTGTTTTCTGGGTTTTTTGTTACTGTTTATGTCTGTTTGTTATTGTTTTCTGGGTTTTTTGTTACTGTTTATGTCTGTTTGCAATTGTTTTCTGGGTTTTTTGTTACTGTTTATGTCTGTTTGTTATTGTTTTCTGGGTTTTTTGTTACTGTTCATGTCTGCTTCTTGTTGTTTTCTGGGTTTTTTGTGTTACTGTTTATGTCTGCTTCTTGTTGTTTTCTGGGTTTTTTGTGTTACTGTTTATGTCTGCTTGTTATTGTTTTCTGGGTTTTTTGTTACTGTTTATGTCTGCTTCTTATTGTTTTCTGGGTTTTTTGTTACTGTTTATGTCTGCTTCTTGTTGTTTTCTGGGTTTTTTGTTACTGTTTATGTCTGTTTGCAATTGTTTTCTGGGTTTTTTGTTACTGTTTATGTCTGTTTGTTATTGTTTTCTGGGTTTTTTGTTACTGTTTATGTCTGTTTGCAATTGTTTTCTGGGTTTTTTGTTACTGTTTATGTCTGTTTGTTATTGTTTTCTGGGTTTTTTGTTACTGTTTATGTCTGTTTGCTATTGTTTTCTGGGTTTTGTGTTACTGTTTATGTCTGTTTGTTATTGTTTTCTGGGTTTTGTGTTACTGTTTATGTCTGTTTGTTATTGTTTTCTGGGTTTTTTTTGTGTTACTGTTTATGTCTGCTTCTTATTGTTTTCTGGGTTTTTTGTTACTGTTTATGTCTGCTTCTTGTTGTTTTCTGGGTTTTTTGTTACTGTTTATGTCTGTTTGCAATTGTTTTCTGGGTTTTTTGTTACTGTTTATGCCTGTTTGTTATTGTTTTCTGGGTTTTTTGTTACTGTTTATGTCTGTTTGCAATTGTTTTCTGGGTTTTTTGTTACTGTTTATGTCTGTTTGTTTTTGTTTTCTGGGTTTTTTGTTACTGTTTATGTCTGTTTGCTATTGTTTTCTGGGTTTTGTGTTACTGTTTATGTCTGTTTGTTATTGTTTTCTGGGTTTTGTGTTACTGTTTATGTCTGTTTGTTATTGTTTTCTGGGTTTTTTGTTACTGTTTATGTCTGCTTGTCATTGTTTCACTACTATTCGCTAATATTTCTACTGCTGGTTACAGTTTTTGTTTGTTTGTTACTGTTTCTGTCGGTTATTATTTTTTTTAATGTTAACTGATTCATACTGGTGGCTATTGTTTCTGGCTGCTTATTTTTAATTATTACCGTTTATTATTGTTTCTTTTAAGCTGTTTCTTTTTTTTAGTTTTAGACAGACAGACAGACAGACAGACTCACAGACAGACAGACAGACAGACACAGACACAGACACAGACACACACACACACACACACACACACACACACACACACATAACTAACCAGTAGGATCAAGGAAACACGATGTGGAAACAATTGCGAACGAGCTAAGAATAGTACAAGTACCTACCCGACATTGCTAGTGTTTATCGTACAAATACCCACCCAACATTGCTAGTGTTGATCGTACAAGTACCCACCTAACATTGCTGGTGTTGATCGTACAAGTACCCACCCAACATAGCTAGTGTTGATCGTACAAGTACCCACCCAACATTGCTAGTGTTGATCGTACAAGTACCCACCCAACATTGCTGGTGTTGATCCTACAAGTACCCACCCAACATTGCTAGTGTTGATCCTACAAGTACCCACCCAACATTGCTAGTGTTGATCCTACAAGTACCCACCCAACATTGCTGGTGTTGATCGTACAAGTACCCACCCAACATAGCTGGTGTTGATCGTACAAGTAGCCACCCAACATAGCTAGTGTTGATCGTACAAGTACCCACCCAACATTGCTGGTGTTGATCGTACAAGTACCCACCCAACATTGCTAGTGTTGATCCTACAAATACCTACCCAACATTGCTAGTGTTGATCCTACAAGTACCCACCCAACATTGCTGGTGTTGATCGTACAAGTACCCACCCAACATAGCTGGTGTTGATCGTACAAGTAGCCACCCAACATAGCTAGTGTTGATCGTACAAGTACCCACCCAACATTGCTGGTGTTGATCGTACAAGTACCCACCCAACATTGCTAGTGTTGATCCTACAAATACCTACCCAACATTGCTAGTGTTGATCCTACAAGTACCCACCCAACATTGCTAGTGTTGATCGTACAAGTACCTACCCAACATTGCTAGTGTTGATCCTACAAGTACCTACCCAACATTGCTAGTGTTGATCGTACAAGTACCTACCCAACATTGCTAGTGTTGATCCTACAAGTACCTACCCAACATTGCTAGTGTTGATCCTACAAGTACCTACCCAACATTGCTAGTGTTGATCCTACAAGTACCTACCCAACATTGCTAGTGTTGATCCTACAAGTACCTACCCAACATTGCTAGTGTTGATCCTACAAGTACCTACCCAACATTGCTAGTGTTGATCCTACAAGTACCCACCCAACATTGCTAGTGTTGATCCTACAAGTACCCACCCAACATTGCTAGTGTTGATCCTACAAGTACCCACCCAACATTGCTAGTGTTGATCCTACAAGTACCCACCCAACATTGCTAGTGTTGATCGTACAAGTACCTACCCAACATTGCTAGTGTTGATCCTACAAGTACCTACCCAACATTGCTAGTGTTGATCCTACAAGTACCTACCCAACATTGCTAGTGTTGATCCTACAAGTACCTACCCAACATTGCTAGTGTTGATCCTACAAGTACCTACCCAACATTGCTAGTGTTGATCCTACAAGTACCTACCCAACATTGCTAGTGTTGATCCTACAAGTACCTACCCAACATTGCTAGTGTTGATCCTACAAGTACCCACCCAACATTGCTAGTGTTGATCCTACAAGTACCCACCCAACATTGCTAGTGTTGATCGTACAAGTACCCACCCAACATTGCTAGTGTTGATCCTACAAGTACCCACCCAACATTGCTAGTGTTGATCCTACAAGTACCCACCCAACATTGCTAGTGTTGATCCTACAAGTACCTACCCGACATTGCTAGTGTTGATCCTACAAGTACCCACCCAACATTGCTAGTGTTGATCCTACAAGTACCCACCCAACATTGCTGGTGTTGATCGTGGTCGTTGGTGGCCGCCAGGACTCCTGTCCGTTAAACATCTTCTCATGGATTAGATTCGAACAGAAACTCTGTTCAACCTATGCCACAGTTATATAAGGGAACTCATGCGTGGCCTAGCAGCCTGCAGTGCCATTTGAGGATAGGACATTTAGTGGTGATGATATTAAAGAGGATATTGTTAAAGGAGCCACTGGCTGGGCCGTTCCAATGTTAGGCTCTTGTGCTGGTGACTCGGGTAAACTGCACAGTCCTTGGCGACAGCAATAGCCACGCGGCCCTTCATCGTCGGGCTCACGACCCTACCCTGTCTACGCCGCCCTAAAAGGTGGTATATACGGCCGGCAGTGAGATTGACAGCTATTTTAAATGTCATTATCATCGTCACTATCATCGTCTTACTTGTCATCTTTATCATTATCATCGCCAGCATCATCAATAATATCATCATTGTCATCATCATCTTGTCATCATCGTCTTGTCATTGTCATCGTCATCATAATTATCGTCATCGCCATAAATATTTGAAGGAAAGTGTCGGCATGACAGGAGTAAATGAGTGTCCCTACGCTCTGGTGCAGGGGACATTTGCTGACAGCTAAAAACAAACACAATCCCCAATCTATTTTAGATCAAACGATAACACGAACATAATTTATTCCACGTCTACGGTTGCTGATTCTGCTCCCATGCTCCACAGCTCGTTACGAAGATCTCAAGAGACGACAGATCTCCATGGCAACAGACTTTACCTCAGTCTTCACGATTGACCCCCAGGCGTGTCCGTAGAGCTGTGGTCAGTGCCTGGACGTCTGGACTCAACAGTGCCCTAAATATAGTGCCTATCTGTTGGGAGTGGATGAAGTGTGAACGTTAACCTGAATTTATCTCAGTAATAGTCTCTTGATTCTGTCCCAGTTTCTCTCTCGTCTGCATCATCGTTCGGAAAATTGTTGGTTTGAGTCTGTGTCAATGTTTGGAAGGTTTCAGATTTGTAATAGTACTACCATTACTTGCATTGCTATAAATGAATGTTTCAGAAACTTGAGTGTAGGCTCATATTTCAACAAACGGAGTCTAAGTGTGAGATGAAAGTGTGTGTCTATATATCAGTCAGCATGTACTTCACAGATCGTCGCTCTCTCGACTGCCAGCCTGAATCCCTATTTTTTTCTAGGTAATTATCCAGCCCTATGTGCTTTCATAGCCAATGCATCTGTAATGTCCTGAATCCACGTTCGAGAAGGTCAGCCTCTTTTTTCTGGAAACTGCAGCCTCCGTGACCGATCTCTCCAGACCAGCAGGGCCCTGGACATGGCTGAAATACCGCCGCTGTCGGGAGACGATGCTGTTTATGAGCCAGTTCTCCTTGATGATCAGGTCACCCAGGACATGGCTGCGTTTGAAACGAGCAATGTCAGAACTGTGTGTGTGTGTGTGTTAGTGTGTGTGTGTGTGTATGTGTGTGTTTGTCAGCATCAAGTGGGACACAAGTGGGTGCAGATGTACCGAGATTTGGTGTCAAGTTCAGATCTGAAACAAATATGTCAGCTAGCATTTCCTTAAGATAACAATAACGAATCTCTTGTGACAATCTGTGTGGTGACTTCTATGTGGTGACAATCTGTGTGGTGACTTCTATGTGGGGACAATCTGTGGGGTGATAATCTGTGTGGTGACTTCTATGTGGGGACAATCTGTGTGGTGACAATTTGTGTGGTGACTTCTGTGTGGTGACAATCTATAGGGTGACAATCTGTGTGGTGACAATCTGTGTGGTGACCATCTGTGTGGTGACAATCTGTGTGGTGACTTCTATGTGGTGACTTCTATGTGGTGACTTCTATGTGGTGACAATCTATGTGGTGACAATCTGTGTGGTGACCATCTGTGTGGTGACTTCTGTGTGGTGACTTCTGTGTGGTGACTTCTATGTGGTGACTTCTGTGTGGTGACTTCTATGTGGTGACAATCTGTGTGGTGACTTCTATGTGGTGACAATCTGTGTGGTGACTTCTATGTGGTGACAATCTGTGTGGTGACTTCTATGTGGTGACTTCTATGTGGTGACAATCTATGTGGTGACTTTTATGTGGTGACTTCTATGTGGTGACTTCTATGTGGTGACTTCTATGTGGTGACTTCTGTGTGGTGACTTCTATGTGGTGACTTCTATGTGGTGACAATCTGTGTGGTGACTTTTATGTGGTGACAATCTGTGTGGTGACAATCTGTGTGGTGACTTCTATGTGGTGACAATCTGTGTGGTGACTTCTATGTGGTGACAATCTGTGTGGTGACTTCTGTGTGGTGACTTCTGTGTGGTGACTTCTATGTGGTGACTTCTATGTGGTGACTTCTATGTGGTGACAATCTGTGTGGTGACTTCTATGTGGTGACAATCTGTGTGGTGACAATCTGTGTGGTGACTTCTATGTGGTGACAATCTGTGTGGTGACTTCTGTGTGGTGACTTCTGTGTGGTGACTTCTATGTGGTGACTTCTATGTGGTGACTTCTATGTGGTGACAATCTGTGTGGTGACTTTTATGTGGTGACAATCTGTGTGGTGACAATCTGTGTGGTGACTTCTATGTGGTGACAATCTGTGTGGTGACTTCTATGTGGTGACTTCTATGTGGTGACAATCTATGTGGTGACTTCTGTGTGGTGACTTCTATGTGGTGACTTCTATGTGGTGACTTCTGTGTGGTGACTTCTATGTGGTGACAATCTGTGTGGTGACTTTTATGTGGTGACAATCTGTGTGGTGACTTCTGTGTGGTGACTTCTATGTGGTGACTTCTATGTGGTGACAATCTATGTGGTGACAATCTGTGTGGTGACAATCTGTGTGGTGACTTCTATGTGGTGACAATCTGTGTGGTGACTTCTATGTGGTGACTTCTATGTGGTGACAATCTATGTGGTGACTTCTGTGTGGTGACTTCTATGTGGTGACTTCTATGTGGTGACTTCTATGTGGTGACAACCTGTGTGGTGACTTCTATGTGGTGTCAATCTGTGTGGTGTCAATCTGTGTGGTGACTTCTATGTGGTGTCAATCTGTGTGGTGACAATCTGTGTGGTGACTTCTGTGTGGCGAAAATCTGAGTGGTGACTGTTGTGTGCTTACAATCTGTGTGGTGACAGTTTGTGTGGTGACTTCTGTGTTGTGACAATCTGTGTGGTGACTTTTGTGTGCTTACAATCTGTGTGGCGAAAATCTGGGTTTGGACAATCTGTGTGGTGACTTTTGTGTGCTTACAATCTGTGTGGTGACTTCTGTGTGGTGACTTCTGTGTGGTGACAATCTGTGTGGTGACTTCTGTGTGGCGAAAATCTGTGTGGTGACAATCTGTGTGGTGACTTTTGTGTGGTGACAATCTGTGTGGTGACTTTTGTGTGCTTACAATCTGTGTGGTGACAGTTTGTGTGGTGACTTCTGTGTTGTGACAATCTGTGTGGTGACTTTTGTGTGCTTACAATCTGTGTGGTGACAGTTTGTGTGGTGACTTCTGTGTTGTGACAATCTGTCTGTTACAAGTGGACCTGAAGCTGTTAACTTTAGTTTACTGAACAGTTACCAGTAACGGAAGTTTCAATGAAGGGGTCCAGTGATTTTGAAACTGAGTGCATTTGTACTTGTAATAATCAGGAATTTTGGCTTTAACAGTCATGAAAATAAAACAGCGTTGCCAGCTTGATGTGGAGAGTGTCTTGTTTAACATCGGTCGAAAATAGCCGATATCATCAAGGCACAACTGTGTCAACCAACACAGTGTTATGTGGGCACAAAATTACCAGTTTTTTGTGGTTGTTTCTCTTGTGATTTGACACGACGGATGATGTGCGTTTTGTTCTTGTTAACATTATGTGGAATTTTTCTCTTTCTCCTCTTTTTAATCACATAGATTAGGTTGGGGTAGGGGTGGGGCTGGAGGGTCTTATCATAGACTCAAGGGGGTTGGTGCCATATGAAGAAAAGAAAAAAAGGTTGGAGACAACTGGTCTATGCATACCTTAGACATCATCTTGACATCGCCTTGACATCATCTTCACATCATCTTGACATCGCCTTGACATCGCCTTGACATCGCCTTGACATCGCCTTGACATCCCCTTGACATCATCTTGACATCGTCTTGACATCGCCTTGACATCACCTTGACATCGCCTTGACATCATCTTCACATCGCCTTGACATCATCTTGATATCGCCTTGACATGATCTTGACATCGCCTTGACATGATCTTGACATCGCCTTGACATCATCTTGACATCGCCTTGACATCATCTTGACATCGCCTTGACATCATCTTGACATCGCCTTGACATCATCTTGACATCGCCTTGACATCATCTTGACATCGCCTTGACATCATCTTGACATCGCCTTTACATCATCTTGACATCGCCTTGACATCATCTTGACATCGTCTTGACATCATCTTGACATCGCCTTGACATCATCTTGAATCGCATTGACATCATCTTGACATCATCTTGATATCGCCTTGACATCATCTTGAATCGCCTTGACATCATCTTGACATCGCCTTGACATCATCTTGACATCGCCTTGACATCATCTTGACATCGCCTTGAGATCATCTTGAATCGCCTTGACATCGCCTTGACATCATCTTGATATCGCCTTGACATCATCTTGACATCGCCTTGACATCATCTTGACATCGCCTTGACATCATCTTGAATCGCCTTGACATCGCCTTGACATCGCCTTGACATCGCCTTGACGCACCTGATTATAGCTTTTGGCCCAGGCATGTTCTAGACATCAGTTAAACACCTAGACATCAGTTAAACACCTAGACATCAGTTAAACACCTAGACATCAGTTAAACACCTAGACATCAGCTAAACACCTAGACATCAGCTAAACACCTAGACATCAGCTAAACACCTAGACATCAGCTAAACACTTAGACATCAGCTAAGCACCCAGACATCAGCTAAACACCTAGACATCAGCTAAACACCTAGACATCAGCTAAACACCTAGACATCAGCTAAACGCCTAGACATCAGCTAAACACCTAGACATCAACTAAACACCTAGACATCAGCTAAACACCTAGACATCGCCTAGACTTAACAACTTGACAGCTATTTTCACTCTTATCATTACAGAAAGTGTTGTTAGATCTTTGATTTAAAGAAAAGATTACTGAACCTGTAATTACAGAAAGTGTTGTTAGATCTTTGATTTAAAAAAAGATTACTGAACCTGTAATTACAGAAAGTGTTGTTGGATCTTTAATTAAAGAAAAAGATTACTGAACCTGTAATTGCAAATAGCGTTGTTGGATCTTTGATTAAAGAAAAGATTACTGAACCTGTTATTACAGAAACTGTTGTTGAATCTTTCATTAAAGAAAAGATTACTGAACCTGTAATTATAGAGATTGTTGGATCTTTGATTAAAGAAAAGATTACTGAACCTGTAATTACAGAAAGTGTTGTTGGATCTTTGATTAAAGAAAAGATTACTGAACCTGTAATTACAGAAAGTGTTGTTGGATCTTTGATTAAAGAAAAGATTACTGAACCTGTAATTACAGAAAGTGTTGTTGGATCTTTGATTAAAGAAAAGATTACTGAACCTGTAATTACAGAAAGTGTTGTTCGATCTTTGATTAAAGAAAAGATTACTGAACCTGTAATTACAGAAAGTGTTGTTCGATCTTTGATTAAAGAACAGATTACTGAACCTGTGCTAAAAGAAATTTGTGTTTGATCTTTGATGCATATATAACTGGAGTAGC